CAGTCACATCACAACATTGTAAAGTTAGCAATCATATATCAGGCTATAACTAAAGTAGTATTGATAATATAGTAACGTTACTGGCAGGACTGTTGATACTGATCCATAACAGAAACTAATGCGCAAGTATCAGCCGTATCTCGCATTACCTAATGCAACTCCACACACTACGGTGCTGTGTACCGGAGGGGAGACGCGAGATACGGCTTGCTGATACTTGACGATCTGGCGGAGAAAGGTTGTGGAGCCTCCGTTGATATGCCGTTGTAAATGCCTTGAAGGAAAGCAGGTGTGTAGTCGGGGAGGGTGCTGATTGCAGCAGGTGAGTGGAGGTTGAGCCGGGAGCCAGGAGTGACAGCCACCACGCCCACACAAACACAGACAGGGGGAAACAAACAAACACAAAGGAGACGGCTGGAGCAGTACAGCCACCACAGCGTTACCTAATGCAACTCCACACTACGTCTTACGGTGCCGTGTACCGGAGGGGGAGAGAGAAGCAGCGAAGGGGGGGAGAGAGATGTAATACGGTTTCTTGATAAAGCTGTGGAGACGGCGTATGTGCTGCAGGGAGGTGGATGCACAACGCACCCAGGAACGAACGCTAGCTCCGGTCCTTTTCCCGTGAGGGAAACTGTAGACTCGATGCCCTGACAGGCTTGAGTTTGTGCAACCTGCACAAACACAAGCTCACCATGATTACAAATGGTGAAATGCAATGTAAAATTACCGAAAAAATACCAGCTCACTAAATCACAACCGCTCAAACCAACTACAAACTACTACCGCGGATTGGGCAGAGAACGAGTCCGAGAAAGTTAACTTCCCCATGTGACGTAATATGACGCGTTTGACGTATGACGTTAAAAAAAAGCAGTTTTTAGTAGCAGAGCTCAAAACGGCTCCTTTTCCTCTGAATTCCTGCCCTTATGTCTTGTAAAACATATAAAATCCTGCATTAACATTTGTAATTTTCAGGCAAGGTTAAGCATAAATGTAGTAAAAAAAACAACCTGCAAGTTGCTCTTTAAAGGCTCCACTATATAGACAGTCTCTAATGCTTCGTAAATTATAAATGGACTGTACTTATATATTGTCTATTTGTCTCAATGTGCGTAATTATGTACTGCAATGATCTGTATCATATCATCGATCATAATATGTCTCAATGCCAAGCATGTCAACATGCACTTCAAGTACTCAGATGGTGCATAACGGTCAAAAACTAAAGTGTGGAACTCTGGAATCCCAACCCTCTTAATGACCGCCATCTTGCTGCGTATAGGAAGTTACCCAACCAGCCGCAAGTATTGCTCCAGTCAAGACAGCACTAAAGCAATGAATGTTATGCATGTGTTTTTTTTCTTCTCCCTGTTTAAGTAACATACAGTACTACTATACCATGTTGAAAAGAAGAGTTTGTGAATTGAGTAGGCAGGGTTAATAGAGCAGTTTGTAATTATTTGGTACTGCTAACTGTTGTTGCCAGCCAGCTAGCTAGCTAGTTAACAGCAGCAATCCTCACTTCCGGTGAGGGCAAAGCATAGACTGTATATGGGCAAAGCCACCATATGGCATTGAAAACAACAAAAAAGGAAATTCACATATTGCTAAGTATTTAAAGACACAGACATGACAGTGTACTAAGGGAAGTATCCAAATCAAGACACAACATTTAACAGTGTCTGTGCCGCATGCTGCTGAGCAGGAAGTGTACAGCAGCATCATCAGAGCATTCTTCCTGAAAACTGCTGCTGATGGAGAGCAGCTTGATGAGCGCAGGGAGCCAACAGCCTGTCTATGGTGGGATGAGAGTTGCCACGATGTCTAGGTGGTGACAATAAGAGTAAGGACCAGCTAATGTGTGTTCCTGCAAGCTGGCTCCTTTGTTATTCTGGTGCTGAGTGACAACGCTGTTGCTGTGGCAGAGGTTGCTAAGAGAAGGAAATGTTTGTCGTATAAATTGAAGAAATATGCCAATTTTATACTTCTGGAAATTGATTTACATCACTGCTTTTATCTAATCTGTGCTTTTATCTGTGCTTTTATCTAATCTGTGCCTCTTGCCATTTATCTTTCTGTTGCTGTTTCTCTGGCTTTGCCACAGAAATATGACATCCCCGTTTTTCATCAAGCCATAGGAAACTCAGAGTTACGCAGCGTCCACAAGGCAGCGTGCGTTGAAGCTTGCCGGTGAGCTTGTCTGAAACTAGACCAACAACCATGGACATGAATCTCCCGCCCCGGACACACAAGCACGCGGTTTGATTGGCTAGAGCTTGTACTGGCATATGATTTGATTGGCTGACGCTTCCGCCGAAGCTTCAAAAGTTCAACATTGCTCAACTTTTGAAGCGAGCAAAGCGAAGCAACGCTCCCACAATGCAGTTCGGCAAAGCGTGACGTCACCTAGGCCTGTCGCGATAATCGATAAATTGACTTATCGTACGATAAATAAAAATGGACTCGATAACTTTTCTGAGCTCGATAAATTGCCGTTTACATGCGTGTTTGTTTACATAAGGATGTGACCAGCATTTTAGCTAGGAGCGCTGTGGCTGCCAGAGGAGCTGTGGCTGCCGGCCATGCGCGCTGCGAGGGGCGGGGCTGACACACAGCCAGGTCAGGACACTGTGTGCACGTACAGCAGCGTAGCAGCCAAATTAATAATATAGCGACAAGCGGGAGACAACCTGTGACTTACTCGCGGGGAATTTAAAGTGAAATGGAATTGGTTACAAAACATACACATCTCGATTCTCCAGTGTGGCAGTATTTTGGATTCAAGCCAAATCAACGAGGCCAACCTACGGACTTGAATGAGCCGGGCGGTGTGTCGCATTTGTTTAAAAAAGGTAGCGACAAAAGCAGGCAATACCACGCATTTTAAACTACACCTAAAACACAACCACTCCATTCCGTTTTCCCAGCTGGTAGCAAACACGGCAGCTGGAGATGGAGAGCCCCCACCTTCCCGACAGAAGATAGCAAGAGACACAAAAAAAAATAACAAACAACCATAGACTACCGCGAAACAGGACATGCAAAATGTTGGTCGTTCCTTTTCCGAAAACTTACGAATATATCAGATTGGATATAGGGCCCTAGTTGAGAAATTCTGGGTCATTTCGCCCAGGGTGGGCTGTATCACTTGACTGTTGTTTTAAGGAGTGTTTTTTTTGCTTGTTGAGGATAATGGTGGCTCTATTTCTATTTAGTTTTTTATTTATTATATTTTATGGTTATTTATTCTATATTAAGCTTATCCTCTATATATGACGTTTTATACTCTATATATAGTACCGTCACTATATGAGACGACGACGAGCTCTGTTTCCGGCCTGGTACCCCTATTTATTTATTGTCTTTTGGTTGTGTGTGATTTAATTAATTTATTATAATTTAATTAATTTGTTTTATTTATTATATATCATTTATATATTTTAATATTATTTCACATTTCATTTGCAATGTTGAATGTTCAATAAAAAGTTCTGTTTGAAAGGATGTACTAGAATTATTATGATATATTATCATTATGTCAGTGGTCTAAAATGGTCTTACAATGGTGCCGACAATATTATCGTTTATCGCAATAATTTCCAGGAACATTTATCGTCCAACAAAATTATTTATCGTGACAGGCCTAACGTCACCCCATTCAAAGTGAATGGGCAGAAGCGTTGAAGCTTCAACGCACGCCACCGTGTGGACGGGCCGTTAAAGGTAATGTTATTAGCTAGGATAATTATGATCATGCTTTTCATGAATTCTGGTGAGAATAAAAAGAATGCATATAGGGCTCTAGTGCTTGTGGTCCAGTGAATTTCTAAGTGATCAAGCTGCATCAAGTGTATTCACAAGTATATAATATC